ATCATGTGCCTTTCCCAGTCATCCCACATTGATGTTAGTGAAACCTCCCTTGTGATCCACCAGGGCTTGCAGCAGCATTGAAAAGTACCCCTTGCGGTTTATGTACTCGGTGGCTTGGTGCTCCGGTGCCAAGATAGGGATATGGGTTCCATCTATTGCCCCACCACAGTTTGGGAATCCCATTGCAGCAAAGCCATCCACTATGGCCTGCACGTTTCCCAGAGTCACTACCCTTGATATCACCAGGTCTTTCATTGCCCTGGCAACTTGGATCACAGCAGCCCCCACAGTAGATTTGCCCACTCCAAATTGATTCCCGACTGACCGGTAGCTGTCTGGCGTTGCAAGCTTCCACAGAGCTATCGCCACTCACTTCTCAACTGTGAGGGCTGCTCTCATCCTGGTATTCTGGCGCTTCAGGGCAGGGGAAAGCAAGTCACAAAGTTCCATGAAAGTGCCCTTACGCATGCGAAAGTTTCGCGGCCACTGGGAATCGTCCCACACCTGCAGCACGATGCGGTCCCACCAGTCTGTGCTTGTTTCCCGGGCCCAGAATCGGTGTTCCACGGCATGAACCTGCCCCAGTAACACCATGATTTGCACATTGCTGGGGCCTGTGCCTTGTGAGAGGTCTATGTCCATGTCAATTTCCTCATCACTCTCGTCGCCGCGCTGCAATCGCCTCCTCGGCTGGTCCTGGTTTTGCTTTGGCATGTCCTGGCTCTGCATATACTCCAGGACAATGCGCGTGGAGTTCATAGTGCTCATAATTGCCGCGGTGATCTGAGTGGGCTCCATGATCCCAGTGCTATGGCGTCTGGTCTGAAAAAAGGCACGAAACTAGTATCTGACGGACGGAGGGAGGGGCGAGTGACGACATGGCGTACAGGTACAGGGAATTAAAATCAACAAAGGTGGCTGTGCATCAGGGAGAAACACAAACAACTGTCACACAGAATGGCCTCCCACAAAGATTGAACTCAAAACCCTGGGTTTAGCAGGCCATTGATTTCACGGAGGGAGGAGGAAGCAAATGAATACAGAACAAATCTATGTTTTATATCTTAAGCTGGCAGACGACGGTGCAGCATGACTGATAGCCCTCGGCATCTTCTGGATGCTTGGCAGAAAATACTGGGCGCTTGGCAGAAAATAGCATACTACGACTGATAGCCATCATCGTCGAGACTGTTCGATAGGACTGAGCATGTCTGCCCAGATGCCCATGATTGACAGCCACTGCAGTACGACGACGACGGATATCAATCGTAATATACCATCTTCTACCAAAAGGCAAGGGGCTGCTGCTGTGTGCAATGCAGCCCCACGTCTGCCAGCCCCACGTCTGCCAGCACACAGATTGCCAATGAAGGCTACCAGTCATAATGCACCATCTACTGCCAAAAGGCAATTAGCTGCTGCTGTGTAGCAATGCAGTACCACGTCTGCCGGCACCCAGATGACATATGGTGACGGTGAGCTGAGCTGAGCTGAGTGAGCGGGCTCCATGCTTGGCGTGGTATGTTGTCTGCACAGGTAACCCAGGTAAAAAGGCGCGAATCGATTGTCTGCCGTTGCTCTGACGGAGGGGGAGGTGCCCGACGACATGTACCCAGAACCCCCCGTGACACTGTTTTGCATCATTCAGGCATTGGGATCTCAACCCAGAATTCCAATGGGTGGCGGAGACTGCAGGAACTGTGGGATAGCTACCCACAGTGCAACGCTCCAGAAGTCGACGCTAGCCTCGGTACTGTGGACGCGGTCCGCCGACTTAATGCACTTAGTGCATTTTATGTGGGGACACACACAATCGGCTGTATACAACCGATTTGTATAAAACCGGCTTCTATAAATTCGACCTAATTTCATAGTGTAGACATACCCTAAGAGTTAAAGGTCCCAAAAGTGAAAGGTCTGATAAATTTACCGTACCTGAATGACTTATCATTAGACAGTCTCCACATTTAATCTGAGACATGATACAGATTTTTTTGTCCCAACATAACAACAGTGGGTAAGAGCTCTTAAAAAGAGTTTAAGTGATTTAGGAAGATAACTCCTAAATCCCATTTCAAAGAGGACCGCATCAAAGCATATTAACACAGACGGTCTGCAGCAAGCTAATACAGGGTAGATTCACACCCCACCTTGGCATGAATGAATTCTTAATGTAGACAAGCCCTCAGTCCCACTGAAAATCAATAGGACTTAGATGCCTAAGTCATTTAGCTACTTCTAAACTGTTTACCCAACTTATCTTTTGGGGACATTATGTACAGGTGATTCAAACCTTTCCGCTATGACCAAGACACTATGGGCATGTCTACACGTACAACGTTGCAGCGGCACAGCTGCGCTGCTCCAGCACATCTGGTGAAGAGGCTCTATGCCAGCAGGAAAAAGCTCTCCCGTCAGCATAATAAAACCACCTCCAGAACAGCAGAAACTATGTCGGTAGGAGAAGCTCTGTGCACACGAGCACTTATGTCAGTGTAATGTATATAGCTCGGGAGTGGCTTATTCACACCCCTGAGCGACATAAGTTATGATGACATAGGCTGTAGTATAGGCATAGCCTATGTCTTTTCTTCACCACCACTCCCAAACCCTTTCCTCTTTTACACTTTCCCCTTTTCTCACAATCAATTCTCTCACTGTTTCAATTGTCACCAGTTAGAAATGGTAAGATTATCTTTGACTAGCAATTTCTTCTCCAGCTGTATTTTTCATGTGGTTAAATTGGCATTTATCACTTTATAAACAGTTTGCAGATCTAGAAAGAGAGAACCCGGCAGAGACTAAATTAGTCCAAAAAAGGGCCAAGTTTATATAATTCAAGGACTGTGTTGAAAAACAGAAGATGTAGAACCAGAAATTAATTAACCAAAATTGGTGTGTCAGATATTAGGCATAATCGGTAGACAAAATAATGAGGGGATGGGCTATTCCACCAATCACTCCCTTTTGGGGGTCGTTAAAAGATAAAGCCTTTGGGAGAAAAATACAGAACAGATGGAGGCTACTGGCATGAATGTCACCATCATGGCAGCCACCCCCACCATCTCCCCGGATCTTCTTTGTCTTAATCCTGACGGCCAAAGAGAGGGACACTGATAACATTGCCACCTCTACCAGCTCCAGCAGAAACCAAAACACCACTTGGAATGAAATAGGACAGGATTTTAACAAGAGAAGCAGCAACAGCCGCTCCAGCTCATCTCAACTAATTTCTTCTCTTTTATCCAAAAGGATGGCATTACCTTCTCTGATACCATCTAGGAGACAATCTAAGAAGGTTTTTATTTTTTTCCTTTTAAAACTCTTTCCAGATAAAGGGAAAGGGAACAAGAAATGTCATCAGAATGAAAGCTTTACTTAGTACTTTGCATTTAAAATGCTTTAACTGTTTTCTCTTCTTCTCTGTATCTTTAATAAAAGGTTAAAAGGCTTTTCAATGGGGTCTTTGCCATCGTACTAAGCAGGCTCAGGTCTCTGTATACCAAACTCCTTGTTTAACACTGTTTAATGTCAGTCAGTGACTGGTTATGTTAACACCTTTGGCTCATTTATTCCATCTAAAGTAACATAGCACACCCTTATGGGGCTTCTCTATTACTTGTCTTCCTATTTGCTCTCTTCATTCATCTCACAATTCTTCTATTGCATTAATTCTTCATGCCTTTTTTTTCTACACAAAACTCTTTAGAACTCACTTTCTCTTTATGTGGGCATGTTTTCACTATGGAGCTAAATCGGTACTGCTGCAATCGATGTGGTGGCATCAATTTAGTGGGCTGGTGAAGACGTGCCTAATCGATGGGAAAACATTCTCCCATTGATTTCTGTACTCCACCTCCCCGAGAAGTGTAAGGTCAGTTGGCGGGAGAGCATCTCCTGTCGACACAGTGCAGTGTAGACACTATGGTAAGTAGATCTAGCTACGTCTACTTCAGTTACGTTATTCACATACCTGAAGTAACGTAACTTAGATCAATTTACTGCAGTAGTGTAGACCATGCCTGACTCTCTCATTTTATATCCCATCTTATAACCTGTCTCTTTTCCTCTCATTAATGCACTTCTAATGATCTCTTGTCTTCTCTCTTCCTCTTTTTGCTTACTCAATATTTTGTACTCATTCAGGACAATCACAGCTGTTGATTTTTTTGCTTTTGGTGATTACTGTATTTTATTCCCGTCTCTCTCTGTTGTCTTTCCATGGAGCAAGGGTGCTACATAAATAGAATGTAATGTTACCAGTTCAAACACAATCTAGACAAATATTGACCAAAACCTGTTACTATTTAACAGCTAATTGGTAGCTTATGGAATGGTGTTCTCAGTCTGTTTCCTGGTGGCCGCATGCCTATATAACAAAAATCATCCCCATGAACACTGTTTGCATTTATTGGCCCCTTGGTTGATGATTTCTGGACATCAAGAGTAAAGAGAGTGCCCTAGTCAAACACTCCATTGACCTCTCAAAAGAAATAAGTACAAAGGGAACATTTTAATTTCCAGTAGGGACTAGGATATCGTAATAAATAATTCTGCTGAGGGAACAAGAGGGAAAGGCACAGAGATATACTTATTATTTTTTAAAATCAGCATCTCTCTAGGTGAATTAGACTACAGAGCTCAGAAAGGAGAAAATTTACTATAGTATAGATCACAAGACTTTTGTAGCTATCGCTTTTACCGTTAAAATGCAGTGCTATTATTTTTACCAGATGTCAACTCCAACGCATAACAGTTTACAACCCTATTTTGCTTCCATTGATGTAAATAGGATATATATTTTATAGAGTGAACAGTATTTCCTGGAAACTATAAAATAGATCCCATTTTCAAAAACATCCAAGTTACAATCAGTTTTCTTGTCCTTACAACTGCACAAATTTGAAGATTAATATAAAACTCAAAATAAATCATCTCAGAAGCCTTTCAAAGGACATTGTTTGCAACTTTAAAATTATTGGGAAAATGTTCTCCCTTACCTGTCCCCCATAATAAAACTCTTCAGAATCATTATCTCCTTCAGAATCTTCTTCAATTGCACTATTGTGCCTTGAGTCCTTATTTAAAAAAAAATAAATGTTAGCAAATGAAACAGGAGAATGCCATTTACTTTTCTTTTTTTAGTAATTATGTATGTTACAAATAAACACTTCACACACTTTATTTAGAGTTTTCATTAGGAACTTCCAGGCAAGAGGATCGTGGGCCTGATTCAACCAATGAATGGTAAAATTAAACTGTGTCCCTATAGGTAGGGCCCAACCAAATTCATGGCCATGAAAAATGCATCACAGACCGTGAACTCTGGTCTCCCCACCCGAGAAATTTGGTCTTTTGGGAGCTTTTACCCTATACTATGCAGATTTAATGGGGGAGACCAGTGTTTCTCAAATTGGGGATCCTGACCCAAAAGGCAGTTGCGGGGGGGGGGTGTCACAAGGTTATTTTAGGGGGGTTGCGGTATTGCCACCCTTACTTTTTCGCTGCTTTCAGAGCTGGGCAGCCAGAGAGCGGCGGCTGTTGCCCAGGCGTCCAGCTCTGAAGGTAGTGCCCAGCTCTGCAGTCAGCAGTGCAGAAGTAAGGGTGGCAATACCATACCATGCCATCCTTACGTATGCGCTGATGCTTGGAGGTGGCTCTGCCTTCAGAACTGGGCTTCTGGCCAGCAGCCGCCACTCGCCAGCTGCCCAGCACTGAAGGCAGCAGCACCACCACCAGCAGCCATTCAGAAGTAAGGGTAGCAGTACCGCAACCCCCCCTACAATAACCTCCTCTTCCCTGGCCGCGGCAAGTCTGGGCAGGTCCGTGGTGGAGCCGGTGGGGAGGGGCACCTCTCCCCGCTTTGGCAGGTCTATGGGGGCGTCGGTGTGGAGGGGAACCTCTCCCCGCCACGATAGGTCTGTGCTTTGGCTGGCGAGGAGGGGCGCCTCTCCCCGCTGCTGCAGGTCCACGCTGGGGGCGGCCAGAAGGGGCGTCTCTCCCCGCCACAGCCCTGTGCAGGGCTTAATAGGCAGCTGCGCGCCTGTGCAGGTTAGAGGGAACTTAGGTCAAGACCCTTACAATTACCCGTGAATTTTACCCGTGAAATTTCAGATTTAAATAGCTGAAATCATTAAATTTACAATTTTTAAAATCCTATGACCGTGAAATTGACCATAATGGACCATGACTTTGGTAGGGTTCTACCTATAAGGCATTAGCCTAATGTAATATAGACTATTATAGTTGATTTGCCAGAATAATTTGTCAACAACATAAATAACACTTAGATTTTACATTAAATATTCATCTTCAAATCCCTTTAAAAGAATTAACTTATTAATTTACACTCACAATAGGGACGACTCATAGAAAAAGGTACTATTTTATCAATTTAAGTTAGAAAGTCACACTTTAATCCTTGCTTAATGTCATTCAACTGTTTAAGGACATTACTTCTTGTTTTCCCACAATCCATTTGTCATTCACAGCCCTTATGTTAACAGGAGCTCACATAAATTGAATATTTGATAAAATCATAAAGACAAAATTCTCCTATTTGACCCACACTTTATCTGTTGCACATTTTGCATTCACAGGAGGCACAAAATTTCCATAATGACCCAGAAATCAACTGTGTGAATTGAACAGAATTTTCCTTTTAATCTTATAGATTCAGAAAAGTGAGATATACTTTTGCCACCAATTTTCATGGCCTCCTATTCTAATCTTATCTCCTTACCTCTGCCTGTAAATTCATACTGTATGCTGTGCATGTGTATATTGAGTGAAAATCATATTTTCAGCCAATTTCATAGCAATTTTAAGACTTTTTTTGCTGGTAGTTTACTGAAGAAAAACAAAAGAATGTATTCAGTCTCCACTGCCTAATAATAACCTTAGCTCCATGGGAAGCATACTGCAAATATAAACAAAATAAACACACCAACAACAGAAACAAAGAGAAATGAAACTCCTCATACTAGAAGAGTGATAAACCCAGCATATATGATATAATCACACAATGAAGTAAAGACTGTGATTGTCTGGCTCACAGAGATGGTTGGTGTTAAAGATTTTCATTAAAAGGGTTTCTTAAATAAATACCTTAGTTGGATCCTAATTCAATTAAAAAATTTATAAAAAGTTCAATTTCTTTGCCATGAAAATTAAACCTATCTCAAGCTTTTAATCATGAAAATAAATGTAACTTCACCTACAAAATTTTAAAATAAAAATATTTCTTCACCAGGCATGTACTCCATAGTACTTTGTAATTTGTGACTATTTTGGTTCTCTAAGCTTTAAAGATTATTGAATAAAATTCTGTGATCGTGCAAGTCAAAAATTTCCACTGCAACTTCTTATATCAAATAAGGGTCTATATGCTACAAACAAAACCACATCAGGAAACCTCGCTGCCACATCGTTGTCCTATATCTCAGTATAAAACATGTGATGAAACCAGCAAACCATTACAATCAAATATAGACTACAATTCAGGAACTTATCCTTATTCGAGAAAGCATTTAACATTAAGCATGTGCTTAAGCACTTTCCTGAATCAGGGCCATAAAGTGCTTAAGCCCTTTGATTCCAGTGGCAGTAATGTGATAATATGCTTGGTAATAAGGGTTTGCCAGACTGAGTGTCTGTGTGCCAATTTTCACCAAAAACTTCATCTTAATGCTGTTTCTTAACTAGGTTACTCCTTGAAACCAAGTATAAATTACACACTGGAATCATGGGGCCTGATACTCCAAAAACCACCTATTGTTCACTCTGTCATGAACAGGTCCATTGACTTCAATGGGACTGTCATGCTCACATTAGTAAGCACTTAGCTAGGAAGTGAATGTTTGAAATATCTAGTCCTGTGCATAAGATCAGGTTAGGAGATAACTGCTTTGTGACCAGCTTCTCTGACACAGTTGTACTTCCAAGGCAGAAAGCATTATGGGGAAGGTTCAGTCATCCTAGATTGATAACACTTTGCATATCTTTTAACAGCCTCCTTGCAAAACTATAGATTGTTTGTATACATCTGGAGTGAAATCCTGACCTCTTTGATGTCAATGGCAAAAGTCTCATTGACTTCAGTGGGGCCAGAATTCCACACCAGTGTTTGTTTTAACAAATTAAATGCAAAGGAAATATTAAGTTATGTTTTGTAGTTTGTTACTCTACCTTCCAATGAAAATATGTATAAGGACTACATTAATAAAGCAATACCATACCTCTCCATTTTCCCTCTGTAATTTTGATTTTATAGATAAGCAACAATTAACATCACTGGTTTTTCTTAATTCTAAAAAAAATAATTAAAAAGGAAAATAGTTAATAGCCATGACAAATCTAAAATCATTTTATTTATGTAATTAAAAAACAGAACTGAAATAAGTGTAGTAGTAGTAGTATTTGCATTACTGTAACACTTAGATGCCTCAGTCATGGACAAGGACTCCACTGTACTAGGTGTTGTACAAACACAGAACAAAAAGACAGTCCCTGCTCCAAAGAGCTTACAATCTACCAATATAAAAACAAGAAGCCAAGATGCCTCAGGAATCCATGATTCTACAATACAAAATGCTGCATAAATAGGTGTTTCCCCATCACTTTTATTTACTTGTAAACTGGACTTAAGCTATGTCCACACTTATGGAGGTGTGTAGAGTACAGGACCTGCATATGTAGCTACTCACTGCAGTGAATGGCAGGCTGTGGCCACACTTACTGCACTGCGGTGTGTGGTTGTATGCCACAGTGAAAGGCTCTGGCCAACATGTAGACAACAGGGAAAGGCTCTGGCATTGGGCAGGCAGCAGGACATTATAATAGCTGGGTAAATGCCCTGGGAGGCACTGCTTGGGAGTGTAGAGAGCCATGTAGAGTATATATCCTGGAGGTACAGGTATGTAGGGCCCAAGCCATGCCTCACTGTCTACACTGCTATTTATAGCTGTGCTAGCTGGGTGTGCACTGTCTGTACTGTACATGTCACCGTTATTGAGTGCCATTTTAAATTTATTCTATGCTGGAATATTACAAGATGACAATTGAGATACTGATTTTAATTGGATTTTACATAAGAATAAAAGAAACTGGCAAAATAAAGTCATTTCATTTTCTTTACAGAGACAAAGGTTTTGTTTTGATGTTTAATATAAAATTTCACACTTGATTTAAAAATATTATAACACGGGTATCTTTGAAGAAAAAAATGTATCTTAAAGGTCTGATTAGGATCTCATGGCTGTTTTGCTTCTCTGTAACTCCACTGATTTACATCAGTTTAAGTGAGATCAGATTAAGGGCCTAAAATGTTTGCTTTCTAGCAACTTTGTACCAGTTTTCCATTCCTGCACCAAAAGTATATTTTTCAGGCTAATTCTATGTTAAACACAAAAAACTATGTTAAAATAACATTATTAAGGTTGCAAAGTCAAGCACCCCAAAGTTAGAAAATGATAGAATTAAGGATGCCTGTGCAGTCTCCTTTGTACCCACTTGCTCCCAGTCCCCCATCCCTAGCCCCTGTTTCCTTCCCAGGCTTCCAGTCCCACTCTCTTTGACCAGCCAGTCGCAGTTCCCTTTCCCAGCCAATCCCAGGTTGTCCCCCAGCTCCCAGTCTCAGCCTCCACCCTTGCCTCTTATCCCACCCCATCTCCCACTCCCAGTTTTTTTCTCTCCTCCTGGCAGCTTCCAGTCACAGGCTTCCAATCTACTGATCCTGCCACTCCAGCTCTTGTCCCCAATTTGACAGCTTCCTCCTCCACACTGCCTGGGTCCTGCAGGGGAGTCACTGAGAGCACAGGAGAATTTTTCTACGCTCAGTTCACATGCCTAGACCCAAACCCAGCACAGCTTGCAGCAGCTCAGAGCTGCAATTGCAGGGAAAGTCAGCCCTGTGCTGCAACATGCTCATTGTGGACAGAATCTCTGGGGAATTTAGCAGCTGAGCATATGTGAACTGTGATTTTTAAAAGCTTATAACTTAGCCAAATGTGGGCAGATTTTCATGGGGTTGGCATAAGGTACATCTCTGACACTACCCGGGCAAATTTCAAATCTGTTCCAAAGCATGAGGTTGCTAGAGCTTTTCAAAGATAAGGGTGCTGGAATTTTTTAACATGGTCAAAACAATGTGTTCTTCCCTAGCTTTGTTCTCAAAAATGGCTAAACCATTTTTGCTGAAAATTAAAAAAAAAAATCAGCCTGAGGTAGATAACTGACATAGAAATGTTCATCCCAAATGGTTAAAGTTTAGCAAAGTGATAAGCAAATGAAAATGAGGTCTTACAAAGGGAAGTTTTGGGCAGCCTTAATGATAGGCAACTGTGTCCCATTGCATTCAAATAGGACTGCTTTAGCATGATTGCAAGCCATGCAATGAGTGAAAACATATATTGCCTATACACTCCCCAAAAGAAATATTTTAGTTGCTTCTATTCCAAAAGGTATGACCATACCCAACAATGAGCTTGTGAAAAAACTACAAGATGCTCAGCAATCCGTATTGGCATATCATCTTTTATGTATGGGCAGTATCCTGCAGTCCCCCACAAAACTTTAACTTGAAAAATCATTTGTGACTCAATATTACCTGTTGCGATTCTATGGAAAATTACTGGGATTGACTCTGTTGTAACTAACACATCTTCATCATTATCTGAACTGGAAACATATGTGTTATCTATAAAAGAGAAACAGTTCTTAGGATAATGGGTACATAATAAGGACCTGATCCACAGCCCAATGACACCATCCAAGCAGCCTCCCAGGCTGCCCCACCAGTATGCTTCCACCTGTGACATAAAGGAACTACTTCGTATCTGTGGGTCTCCTATGTGCGCTGAAGTGCCTAAATATGCAAAACATGTAAAAGTAGGAGAAAGGAAGGTTAACTTCCTTTGGCCCTGATCTTTCAACGAGCTCTAGGCAGGATGGACCTCCTGTGCCATGCAGAGTCCCACTGAAGGCAATGCACTGGCCCAGTGATTCACTTCTGGCAGGATTGGGTCTTTCAACCATAAATACATGGTGCTCATTTGGCATCATCACAGCATGTGTTAGTTAATATACAAAGATCACGGAACAATAGGCAATAACATTTCTACAATCTACGTCAGCCAATGTGTATCATTATGGACATTTATTTACTGGCAAAATACTCAATGTCTCCCACAGGAGTCATGCAGATACACTGTATCAGTTCATATTAATGGAACTTTAGTATACTCATTGACAGTATATACAGCTCTTTTGGAGCATAATTATCCTAATATTATGTTACAATTATGAGGAAATGGTTTCAAAGATCATGCTCAGTGCCATTAATACTACTTCTAAAAATATCAGTGATACTTTAATGATTTCAGCAATGTATAAACAATGTGGAGACAAACTTACTATTTAAAATAGTTTTAGTTTCACTTACAATTATGCAACTTTTCAATAGCTGCCACTTCTGACAGTTGCCACATCACAATGGTTCAGGGACTTAAGGCTTAATGTTCAGCTGTTTCCAATCACTCAGAGATTTGTGAAGCAATTCATTCAGTTTTAGGTGATGATTTCAACATTGTTACTAGTGCCATAGTGATGATGTGACATAGGTAACAGAAATGTATGAAACTGATGTACCCATAATTTCCTGAGCTGTTCCTATAATATCTACAAATTTACCTGCTGAGGATTCCCCTTCAGTCTAATTAACACCCAAACATCTAGGGCAACAATCTGTTCTGAGTTATTAAACATAGTAGCAGTCTGTTTGGTGATCACAGTCTATTCTTGCTCTGCATGGGCACATGGATCCACTCTTACCTATAAATTAGCAAGATTAGGGCCTTAGTCACTTGTTTAGGAGTTTTCTAAAAGGTGGAACACATATTAAAATGAAAAATATTACAAAAAGAGCATACAGATTCTTGTCATTTATAGTAGTTTTGATCTTTAAGACTTATTATGTCTTGATCCTAAAAGGCCTGATGCAACAAAGCACCTAAGCACATGCTTAAGATTAAGAACACAAGTAGTCCCATTGACTTCAAGCATATGTTTAAGTGCTTTGTTGGATCAGAGCCAGAACGTTCAGCACTTTACTGGATCAAGCTATATATTTCATACCAAACAGGAGTTAGGTTGTTTTTAGATTATCATCATTGACAGCTTTAGACATGGTAAGCGTCACAACCCCCTTCTCGCTAAACTCGTGAATCAGGTTTTCTCACCCTAACCTGGCTGACAAATGAAGGCTGAAAAGGAGAAATGACTGTGAAAACAATCTAACTAACAGGAAATGATTAGCAAAAGAAGCCCCTAGAACACATTAATGCTCTTTCAGATATCTTCATCTGAACTTCTGAATATTGCTCTAACAATGATATTTGCTTCAAGCACAAGAATGTTGCACTATACCTGGATAATCCTCCGAGACATGTACTGAATAGGATATGCTGGAAGAAACAAAAAAGAAAGAAACAAGAGTGTTAATAACAATAACAGTTAGCAGAAGAATTTTCTCTACTTCTGTATTATCTGTTTATTTATAGATTTCTGACAGCTTCTAAGACAGGAGGCAACAGCTACTTTGACAGCTTTTGAAGTGCTTAGCTCAAAAATGTAATGGCCCATTTCAAAGGTTTACTTCTGCTAAACCAGCTCAGGTCTAAATTAAACTGTCTTAAAAATATCATGATTGCATTACAAAGTGTTCTCTCTACAGTAATATTTCACTGCCTCCATTGAGCCTACTATGTTTTATTTGTTTAAATGTATACATATGTCCCAATCCTACAATTAGTTCCATGTGAGCATAACACTGACTTCAGTGGGATTGTATAGGTGTAGAATAATGGTGGGCAATCTGTGGCCCATCAGGGTAATCCACTGGCAGGCCGCTAGACCATTTGTTTACCTCTGCACGGTCGCCCGGAGCTCCCAGTGGCTGCAGTTCGCCGTCCCTGGCCAATGGTAGCTGTGGGAAGCGGTGGCCAGCACGTCCCTGCGGTGGCCAGCACATGCTTCCCACAGCTTCCACTGGCTCGGAATGGTGAACTGCGGCCACTGGGAGCTGTGGGAGGCCGTGCAAAAGTAAACAAACAGTCTGGTGGCTCGCCAGCAGATTACCCTGATGGGCCGCAGGTTGCCCAACACTGGTGTAGAAGTCTGCCCACTGGCAGTTAAGTGCTGAATCAGACCCATGGACTTAATTTTTTTAAGAAGGTTAATGTGCATCCTTATTTTACACCAAGCAAATTAATTTTTGTAGCATGCTGAAAGCTTTCCACTGTATAATTCATGTACTTTTCTTTTCAGAATTCATATATATATAATACGTGTCTACCTGCATATCTAAATAATACATTCTGGTGTGTGCAGCATGGTCACATCAGTGTAAAACTGATGAGGAAAAAAGTAAAGTGCTGGTCCTCCATAGGTAGAACTCCCAGTGGAATCAAGAGGTGATTCTACATGCATAGGACCTTCAGGATCAGGTCCTTGGATTAAAAATATCCTCAGGCCAGATTCTGCAAACAACTACAACCAAGTTTAGGTCCTGATCCAAAGCCTGTTGAAGTCAAGGGGAGCCTTGCAACTATGATTTAGTCCCAGTGGAGAGTGGGACAGAGGACAGTAGACAGATGTGTGAATAAACCATGAAAAAGGGAAAAAGAGGCAGAGATGCTTGGAAACCTTGAAGTTATGAAAAAGGAAATCAAGGTTAGAAAGTAAGAAAAGAAAAGAAAA